CTCTCAAACAAAGATTGAGTATCAAATTTTAACATTTTCAGAAGAAGACGTCATTTTATTAGTAAAGTCAACAGCTCGCGTAAGAAATATTGTGTTCAGGGTTTTCACCGTCATGTGAATTACGTGTTCAGGGTTTTCACCATCATATGAATTAACCGTGAGTAAGGTTCATGCTCACTTATAATCTAATTCCATTGGCTTCGTTGATCAGCATTTTCTGTTAGCGGTCACTCACACACCAGTTAGAACATAAAACGCCAGTTTTATATTATGTAATTGGACTTGCCGAAAATCCAGAAATACATCTAAGAGTTATTTAAGATAATATTTTTATGAAGCCTTTACCTGCCTTTGCCTAGGCGTAATTTCTTTTTCTATTACCTGAAAGAATTATTGAATGCTCGTCTTCAATAGCTGTAAGGTGCTCTCCTAATGACCAGGTGAGATTGATTTGAGAGGTATGTGACAATGCAACATGTTGGATTTTCTGAAACTGTCAAGCTCTTGATGATGAAGGAACAATTGGTACCTATAATTAGTATTCTGTACCAGAGTGCAAACTCCCCTACAGCAAATGGTAAAACCATTACAGGTTTTCAAAGGCTTCACTTCACCACTTTCAATGTTGCTGGGCATCCTTTGCATGATTTTTACAGGCTAGCCTGCTTATCAGAATTTAAGATTAAGGATTTAGAATTTTATATTTGAGTACTTAAGATTGAGCTTGAAATCTCACAGCCGTGGCCACAGCCGTAGCCGTGTTCTTGGAGATATTTGCAGCCGCCCCGGCCCACAGCCGTGGGGCTGCAGCCAGCCGCGGCTGCAGCCGGCCGGTGCAGACCTCTACTCTAGGGGCCAAAGTATAATATGTGGCGAAAAAACAGACTTCACCGTTGGAATCAGCGTCGAAAACTGTACACATGGACTAGTTTTTATGAAAATCTAAGGGGGTCCCCCTTCGCCCCAAAAAAACTTTGAATGCCTCTAGGGGCCAAAGTATAATATGTGGCGAAAAACAGACTTCACCATTGGAATCAGCGTCCAAAACTGTACCAATGGACCAGTTTTTATGAAAATCTAAGGGGGTCCCCCTTCGCCCCAAAAAAACTTTGAATGCCTCTAGGGGCCAAAGTATAATATGTGGCGAAAACAGACTTCACCATTGGAATCAGCGTCCAAAACTGTACACATGGACCAGTTTTTATGAAAATCTAAGGGGGTCCCCCTTCCCCAAAAAACTTTGAATGCCTGTAGGGGCCAAAGTATAATATGTGGCGAAAAACAGGCTTCACCTTTGGAATCAGCGTCCAAAACTGTACACATGGACCAGTTTTTATGAAAATCTAAGGGGGTCCCCCTTCGCCCCAAAAAAAACTTTGAATGCCTCTAGGGGCCAAAGTATAATATGTGGCGAAAAACAGACTTCACCATTGGAATCAGCGTCCAAAACTGTACACATGGACCAGTTTTTATGAAAATCTAAGGGGGTTCCCCTTCGCCCCAAAAAACTTTGAATGCCTCTAGGGGCCAAAGTATAATATGTGGCGAAAAACAGACTTCACCATTGGAATCAGCGTCCAAAACTGTACACATGGACCAGTTTTTATGAAAATCTAAGGGGGTCCCCTTCCCCCAAAAAACTTTGAATGCCTCTAGGGGCCAAAGTATAATATGTGGCGAAAAACAGACTTCACCGTTGGAATCAGCGTCCAAAACTGTACACATAGACCAGTTTTTATGAAAATCTAAGGGGGTCCCCCTTCGCCCCAAAAAAACTTTGAATGCCTCTAGGGGCCAAAGTATAATATGTGGCGAAAAACAGACTTCACCATTGGAATCAGCGTCCAAAACTGTACCCATGGACCAGTTTTTATGAAAATCTAAGGGGATCCGAATGTGATTCTGAAAGTGAATCTGAATCTGAGGCTGTCTTGACAGACGTGGCTGGGATCCACCCTTGGGCAGGGGAGTAGCGAAAATTTTGCCCACCCAGTGAAAAATCCTTAGAGGAGGCCCTGGCATGTATGAGCGGAAAATGAGCCGCCTCGCTGTATTCCAAGACGCAGGTGCCTTGTGCGCCGAACAATGCCAGAACGCCGGGCCCCACTGAATATCCGGCGGTGACGGGGGCTGCTCAGAGGCGTGGCCACGGTAGTCACGGATGCGCGATATGAGAACCGTGACTGATTCAACATGGAGGTCTGCTGTGGTATCAGGCATGATTACCGGCATCCGTCTCTCCAGTCACGGCTAGTTAGATGTAATAGTGTAATAATGTAATTGCACTATCGGTCTCAGTGAAGCCATCTGACAGGTTACGGTGATGTAAATTGGCCGCGAGGCAGATTTGGGGTGACGCTACTTTTCTGGAAAGAAGTTTTAATTACCGGTGTTTTATCATACCATGTTTTGATTTGCTTTTTGAATCTAGCGCCTATACACAGATATTTGAAAGTCACATATTACTGGAGGACGACAATGTAGAAAGTATTGACTGTTAGGCCTAGGGTCCATTTGATAAAAATGCAATCCTCTAGCCGGGTACCAAGTTTTGCAGTGTCCTTCAGTACCATCCTGAGCTTGTTTGCGAGTGTCTCATCCCTTGAAGCATCTCAGACGGACGGAGCCGTATTAGAGCTGGCAGCTTCAGGCTCTGGCGCCCACAAAACGGCGTGAGTCGCAGCAACAACCCACCGCCTCCGCGGCAAACAGATGCCAATCACGCTGACAAAGCGCCGTGCTCACCATCTGAGCGGCAAGACAGTCCATCAGAGGAACACGTGCCAGGTAACGCACGCTCGAGAAGTGATTGATTTCACCATCGCCGCCCCGTACCGAGAGCGGCTCCGTCTGCTCGAGCTATGAACGACCCCAGTCATGACCGGGCACAGGTCGAGAGGCGCGTAACAGCGCACGACAGGCCTTTAGCCATCGCCGGCCGCCGGTTTAACTGCCCCCGCGCCACATCGTCAGCCGTTCGCCCGTACTCCGAGACGGCCGTCAGCCGCGGTCTTCCGCACGACCCAGGGCCGACCCGCGCTCTGGGACGTGCCTGGCAGCCTTCCAGGCCCGCTCTGCAAACTGACCTCGCCGCAGCGCCGGCAAGACGACGAGCACCCGTCTTCTGCGGCGGTGAGGTCGCGGGATACCGCCCACCGCGCACACATCCAGTGGCCTTGTGAGACGTTCCAGCAGGCTGCGACGCATGACGCGGGAAGCTCGGCACACGAAACGGCACGTGAATGACACCCGAAAACAACATGCTGGAAAACAACCGCGACCGAGCTACCGCCGACCCCGACGGACATTAGCTGATGGCGTGTCGAATTGCGATACCACCGACGCTACCGACTGCGAAGGCACGGGAAGGGAGGGGGGGGGGGGGAGGCGGACGGATGTGAGACTAGCCTTGACTTCGTCGAAATGTATGCTGATCTTGACACCTGGCCTAACACATTAGAATATGAATGTCGTTTGTTCTAGAGGTGGAATTGACCCGGCGTCGGTCTCACACCGTCAGCTACATAAATGAACCACTGCCTTTCTGTATTTGATCTGTTCCATACTTCCATAGGCATTTCTGGTCAATGCTGAGCATCAATAAATGATGTTATGGATTGTCCTAAATGAGTTGGTTCGGCACGTCCTTCTTATATTGCAAATGCCGATGTCTGGTAACGTGTTTGACGTCTCGCGATCTACGACGTTTCGAAATAAAAATGATGCGGTGATAATTCGAGACAATTGTCCCAAGTGCATGAAAAAGTGCAAATTTGGGAATCACCACTCTCGACGTGCTCATCTCTCTAAGCATCTCTAGTCTCATCTCTATCTCTAAGCATTGAGGGCACACTTATTGAACAGAGAATTTCCGAAATGCAAAGGTTTTCAACATCGCAATTTACAATACTAGATATTGTAAATTGCGATGTTGAAAACCTTTGCATTTCGGAAATTCTCTGTTCAAGAAGTGTGCCCTCAATGCTTAGAGATAGAGATTTTTATCATTTTACAAGTTGGTATATTAGTCCGATTGCAGCAGCTACCTAAACATAAAGCCGTATCGTGCTACTTTCAAGCAATTTTTGCATTTATGAAATTCTGCCATCGGATATTTCTAATGCGCTTGATAAATTTTTAATAAAGATTATGTTTTTTGCAGTATTAATCGAAATCAAAACAGTTGCCGTCCTATCCTTCTGGCACCTAGCAACTGGAGTAAACCCTGTAGGCCCAACCACCCTCACTGCGCCCCACTCACCTGGTCCACCACCGTTGACCGACCGTCACCCGTCACACAATCCTCGCCCGTCCCTCACCGCTCCTCACCCGGCCGGCGCCGGCGCTGCACTGGCCCGGCGCTCCGCCCGGCGCACCGCGCGCCCGGCGCTCGGCCGCCCGTTCTGGGTCACCCGCGGCGGTCAACCGACGGCTGCGACGCTACCCCGGCGACGATCCACCGCCGCGAGAAGACCGGCCGGGGGCAGCCGAAACCACGATCGGCATCCCGTCAGTGCCGTCGGCGATGGTTTCACTCTTCATGGAGTGCGCCGCACCCCGGCGTGGCGGTCACTTTTTAGCCGGGCCCCGGGGGTGGCCGCCCGCCACTCGTGCTGCAGTTGGCTTTCTCTGGGTGGCGCAGCCGAGTCCCCCGGCAGGGATAAGGATCGCCGGAGAAAAGGTGTCTGGATGAGGCCCCTCCCGAGTCTTCATATGGCGAGAAAAAAGTGTTTTGAAGCGTCCCCGAGCCGATGTGGAGATGCCGGACGATGTATTTGAATCTTATTGTTATGCGGTCGTTTGTATTCAGTGGCGAAATGATGAAGGAAGCCGTATTGGCTTTTAAGGAAGCTGGCCAAGAATATATCTAAACTCACTTTCAGTATTTCAAAACGTCTGCCGACCTCCTTTATACTAGCAGAGTGGAGACCGTGTGGGCTTCAATGGTTTGCAGATCTTTTTAAGCGGTCTTTTGTTTTTCTGTTATCAGTCTTTGATACTTAAAGGGACCCTCCCACCTTCAAAAAAGTTTATGAATTGGCATGAAAGTGATGTCGCTCGGTTCAGAAAGAGCAAAAACGAATATCTACCAAATTTCACCGAAAAATATTCACCGTTTTTCAAGATATTAGACTTTTACTTTTGTTTACTTTTTTGGGATCTCCGCTGTTTCTAGCGACTTTAATTTAGAAGTGCGGCGCTTGCGGCAGATGTTGCGCGCAAATAGCATATACCACCGCGTGCTACAAAACGTTTTAATCAAACATTTAAAAATCGTTAGATATTTGCGCTGACGTCACACATTCAGAGGGGTATTCCTAAGCATTAGCCCCTCTGAATCAAAATGCTGCAATTTTGAAATTCAATATTTCCGATTTAAGGCATTTCTCGATGTTGTGAGTGCCGAAACCGGTAATTGTGAGCCAGGGACCCCATTTTGGCTATCTCAACTCAAATCTAATGTTAAGGTGGGAGGGTCCCTTTAATGACTCTACATTTTGCGACTCCTACTTTATATAATAAAATTCGGATATAAATATGTTTCTATCTCTATATCAGCTCGTAACATAGGAACTTGGCTGTATCTATGTAGTGTAAATGTTTCAGGTACTCTCGAATCTCGATATATCTCCCTGTTTGCCTTTCCATCTTAGCTCTTTTGTAATCGTGAGTTTTTTTTTATAACCGTTTGGTATGAAAGAAACTCAAAGCTGAAAACGGTTAGGGACCCGCAATGTTTTGCTGGTTATTCTTGGAACGATGATTATTCAATTCATTCTTCGACCAATTTACTGAGCCTGAGTTCATAATGAGTTGAGAACAATCAACATCTCCCACACACCAATCCTTCAGTTCGCACAGCCCCGGGGAAGGTTTCTACACCAGAAGTCTCTCTTTACACCAACTCCTCCCCTTCGGCCCTTCCCGTCCACCTACCCAGCGCCGGGGGAGATCTCGGGCCGCACCCCACGCCGTCAGAGGAAGAAAGTGACTCCAGATTCCTGGCTGGGTCGTCTGAGAGTTAGGACAGTCCGGTCCGCATGAGTGGCCGATCTCTCTCTCTCTATCCGACTCTCCCTGCGTCCCGGGATTAAACACGTCCCCCCGAGCTGCGCTCACGATAATTTGGCCGTCTCTGGCACGGAAAGTGAGACCGCCCGGCCGTCCATTTGATAATATCCGTAATTGTGTGGTGCTTACTTACCTTGGGGCGCCTGGACCGTTTTGGACGCTGGGAAACGTACCTAATTAACTACGTAGGGTGTATCTCGGGGCATCAAAGTAGCATCACAGAGGCCAATGGCCGCAAACAAGCACCATATACCATTTAGCAATGGGCGCTTGTTTAGAGGAGCATCAAAGTGCAGAAGCACTGACATGCTTCAGAGAAGTAGCTGTGGTTTGTTATTATCTTACCGTTTTTATGTGATCATCCCACAAAGCTTTTGGGAAAAATAATTACAATAGATATTTGTCATCCACGATATCGATTCCACAAAACCATAGGGGATTGGTATTTACTAAATTGTTAACTGCCTGGGTAGCTAAATAACCGAATCGGACCGGATGCCCACCGTCCATCGCATTCGCATAAAACTAAACAGAGTTATGCCTATTTGGCATAAGCCTCCTGCTCGGCCACACTTAAGGTATTAGGCATACAGATGCCAGAGCCACCCTTTCCCCGTTGAAATGCCTGCCGAACGGTGGTCCCGGGGTCCCACTGCGGTCTCTTGTTCCTCCACAGACGGCCCATTTCAACTATAGCGTCCCTCCCATCCCGGCGGCGCGGCGGCGGGGGCGGCCACGGCCGCGAGGGTCGAGGCCGTGCATTGAGCAACTGCAGTGCGGGTCACACGCATTCACCCATCAGTCAACTCCAACCATGAGCCTGGCAGTCGGTGTAGCTCAGCCCGGTAGCGGTAAAACTACCAGGCAGCCCGCGCCCGCTCATTCGTTGTTCCCAAATCCCATTGTTAGGGGAAGTTGGGGCAATGCCGGAGTTGGGGCAAAGCCGAAATTCGAGATATTTCGAAAACCGTACGACATGGATGCCACCTGTCAGTGATGCTCTGAAGCTTAAGTGACTACCAATTATCGCATGTTTGTTACCAGTCGTCATTCGGAATACTTCGGCAGTGAGGGCGCCAAGAGCGTTTTCAAGGTACGTTTCTTTTGTACTACATGCGTCTTCGAAGCTGCATTTCCTACTCATTATGCTTCCGTTTGTCTGGTCAATTCGGTCAAGTAATCTTCAGCCCGTCTTTGCATAAGTGTGCTGCCTATTTGAAATTTATACAGCACGTTGAAAAGTTATGGGCCTGCAGATGACAGTATGGCTGGCTGGGGTAATGCCGAAAACGTGCAATTACGCACGTTAAAGCACGCTACGTGGACTTTACTGCTGTAGAATAGCAACGCGAATTTTTAGTCACACAAATTACACTTTTAACGACACAACGCACTATGGTTGGAAACGGCCTCACGGATGGCCGGGGGTCAACGCGAAAAAATGTTTTGCCCATAACTTGTTAATGCGTAGACCGACTGCGATGAAACTTTGCATAGGTATACCAGTGTCTTTCGTGCATCATACAGTAACTCAGAAATGACGAGGTCACGTCACGTCACGCGTGTGTGACGTCATCATTGCAAGTATGTTATAAGTCGCCTATGTCTTTCGTTATGTTATCGATATCGCGAGGCATTTTGAACATGTTTTGAATACTGCTATTACTGAATGGATATTGTTGTTATGCTTTAGGGCAAGACATATCAACGTAGTGACGCACAGTGTCTTACTATTGGTCATAAACGGTCAAAAATTTGGAGAAAGAGTATTTATGATTTTTTTTTAGATTGGGCAAAAAAGTAAGAAATAAAATGACGATCAAATGACAAAACATGCGTCAGATTAACCCGGCAGTTGCTGGGGTATTTCCCCATCCGCCGTTTGCCCGGGGGGGGGGGGCGTTCAACGCCCCCAGCCGATAACTCGCGAACAAATAGGCGCAGCGAAGCGCACGAGGCGCGGCAAACGAAAGAAGAACGCGACGAGACGATTCACATGAATACTTTAAAGTTGAATTTCGAGGTCACAGGTCGGGTCAAGGTCAGGTCAAACACTTGAAATCGGGTTTTCAGTAGCATGGACTTTAGAACCTCGCAATCGGTGCCTCGCGTTTCGCGTTTCGATTATATCGTCATCAGTTGGTCCTAAATAAATTCAGTCATCAGTTGGTCCTAAACAATCTGTCACAACTGTCACAACCCTTCATATAAGTGCTAAAAGAGTGTCAGATCAATGTAGGGGTCAGTCAAACATAGGCCACTGGCCAGGGTCAAAGTCAGGTCAATCAGGTAAGCACATAACCCCGAAAATTAAAACTGGTACCTATTCGCAGCCCATGCATGACACATGTTTTATGGGTACTTTTGGGCGTAGAACACGATGGCGACATTCATTTTATCATACGAGTACGTAGCTGGTTGAAAAAAGATCAATTTCAGAAATGCATGCATCATGGTCGTGAAGTAGTCACGAGAAATTGCCAACATTCAGTTCAAGATTTTGGGAAATGTAGAACGATGATCAAAAACCATAGATAGCCATTTGATTTGCCATGGTATTGGCAGTGTAATGGCGTTTACAGCATGTCTGTATGTCTGCTCTGTCGGTGGATATCCATATCCATACTCCAGGATATCCATACACGTTTGCACGATATCCATACTCCAGGTGCAGCGGCGAGCAGTTACTTCTTACGAGGGGTGCGGAGTCGAAGTCAGAGTCGGAGTCAGAGTCGGAGTCGGAGCCAGAGTCGCCCAGAGTCGTGGCAACGAGCCAGGAGTCGGAGTCGGAGTCGGGGTCGGTCAGGAGCCCGCAGTGGAAGTCGGAGTCGGTCCGAATCGGAACAGCTCCATCACGACTCCGAAACACTGGCAGGGGTCCGGAGTCGGAGACAGAGTCGGCCGGAGTCATGGCAACGAGTCAGGAGTCGGAGTCGTAGTCGGAGTCGGATTTGGCTCCACCACGACTCCGCAACCCTGCTTCTTACCATCATTTATAAGGATAAGCGATTGCAAGACTGACGAGCCGACCTGGTGCTAACGAAGCGACGGGTAGGTACGCCTCGGGAGATGAAGCTTCACGGACGATTTTGCGCACAAGTGCGCAGTCTGCTTTTACGTTCCCCTTACGCAGAATTGAACAGAGACTTATTCTGCCAAAAAGCTCAATGGAGGTCGATGGAGAACTTTTTGTATGTCCAATGAAACATAAACGTAATTTTGCAAATATTGCTGTGGTGACACTGCAAACAGAATGCAATGCCGTTCCTGATTTTGAACACGCATGGGAAAAAGAGTCACTCCACTCGATAGCCAACATAACAAGGATTATTTTGATATATAATAATCCAGTTTTACAACGTCATGGAGGTACTCCACATGCTATCACCAGCGCGGTTGTTTAAACCTTTGACGGCGCACCAAAAAAGCCACTCTCAGAAACTCCCGATTCCACGTACAATAATGGAGACTAAATGCGCAACTAAATAATTTTTTCTGCCCAATTCAAAACATTTCATCAATTTCCAACAGAATGACACCCCAAATATACATATATTCCGAGATTGCCCACGGCCATCCGTGAGGCCGTTTCCAACCATAGTGCAACGGCCTGTTACCATAAGGAATGATTTACCTGGCCTTTTCTTATTATATCACACAATTATAACTTCCAGTGTGCACCAAGCGTCCTCAAGCTCTTAAAACGCGTGTCAGCTTTTACGAATCCTGGATAAAATTTGAGATGAAATAGCAAAACATCAATTTCGGCATTCCCGTAGATCATTTCTCCCATTTTCGGCTTTCCCCGCAGTCCGGGGCAACGCCGAAAAAGCCACTTCTTTGATATTTTTAGTTTGTGCGCTTAACGGTATGCGAATTCATCAAATGCGCCTGGTATGTTTGAAAGGCAAAAGACTGGCCTCTCGAATGACGCCAACAAGAATAGCTTATGTTGTCTACC